ATGATCTTTCACGTTCACGTGAATTAAAAAATAACCTAATAGTAATACTACAAATTTTCACGCTATATTTTTGTTAATATATTTATTATTAAATTCCTTTGCAGTCAGCTGTTGCCACATGCTGCATTTATTGTTCGACTCATTGTGAAGTACTTCAAGAAATGTGTGTCTGCAGAATTGAGAGTAAAGGTCTACGCAGTTGCTAAGTTATTGATGATGTCTTTGGGCGTTGGTAAGCAGAAGTACATTTATTTGTATATTTACCTATTTGTCAATTATTCTTCTTTTCTTAGAGAGATCAATTAGGCGATATGTAATTATAGCATTATTAGACAGATAATTTGATTGGATTTGTTGCATGCCCTTTCTTATTCTAGTTAAGGTTCAGTCTTTCGGTAACGGCTCAAGCCCACTGCTAGTAGATATCGTTCTCTTTAGGCTTTCCTTTTCAGACTTCTCCTCAAATTTTTTATAACGCACTTGCTAGGGAGAGGTTTTCACACCCTTATAAAAAATGTTTCGTTCTCCTCCTCAACCATGTGGGATCTCACAATCTATTGATGGTTTTTAAAATGCGGGGCTAGCAAATATTGTCCTTTTGGGTTTTCCTTTTTGGGCTTCCCCTCAAGATTTTTCAAACGCATCTGATAGGGAGAGGTATAAAGAATGCTTCATTTTCCTCCCCAATCGATGTGGGATCTCACAATCCATTAATGGTTTTTAAAACGCGGCTTCTTTATGGTAACCAGAAAAAAAATTATTCACTAAGGATTCTCAGAATTCAAGTTGATCTTTAGTTTCTTTTTGGAGCTAATTGAAACATTTTTAGGCAATGTGAGGAATGTAGGATATGGATCTTCCTTTGTTGTCCTTGATAAAATCATTAGAAATGTAAAAAAAAATATTTTGTGTTTCATTTGGTAAGGATACTATTGTTATTGTTTTCTTTTTGTCTATAATGAAATAATGTTTTGGGATGCATGCTTACTCGATGCTACGTCTGAATCAGGTATGGCTGCATCTCTTACACGGGATGTGATCGACAATGTACTAGCCGATTTGAACCCTGTTGATAATGAGAGTTGTACTCCATCTAGTGTGAATCCGAAGGACGCCCAAGGAGAATTGCCGCAACACCATAAGAAGAGAAAACGTCCTTTAGTTCCCACTTCATTTAAAGAGCAGCATGAGGGACATGGATCAAGAGACATTACCAGCAGCTTTATGTCCACTTCTGTCCCCTTGAGGATAGCGGCACTTGAGGCTTTGGAGACTCTTCTTACATTGGTAGGCATTATATAACTAATCTGTGGCTTTCTGTAAGGTTGTGCTTTGGGACATTTTTGGTTCCCTTTTGTTTCTGATATTGTTGCTAAATGATATTGTTGTATAGGCTGGTGCTTTGAGAACTGAAGAAGGATGGCGTGCGAAAGTCGAACATCTTTTAATAACAGCCGCAACATCATCTTTCGAATGGCCCTTGGCTTCAGATGACATCTTTTTCCAAACTAATGAATCTATTGAGGTTTGGGCGGATTATCAGTTGGCAGCATTTCGTGCGCTACTGGCTTCGTTTTTGTCTGCTGTTCATATACGCCCTCTGGCCTTGGCTCAAGGTCTTGAGCTTTTCCGTAGAGGTAAGTCTCTTTTGATATTTCATCTGTTAACTGTAACGGCTCAATCCCACTGCTAATAGATATTGTCCTTTTGGATTTTTCCTTTCGGGCTTCCTCTCAAGGTTTTTAAAATGCGTCTTCCACACTCATATAAAGAATGTTTCGTTCTCGATCTGAAATTAACTATTTATCAGAAAAATTATGCATAGAACAGCAGACGTTAGCTATTTTCTGATTGGTATTTTTATCTTCAGGTAAACAAGAACTTGGAACCAAACTTCCTAAATTCTGTGCGCATGCACTCTTAGCCTTGGAGGTTCTAATACATCCAAGAGTACTTCCCTTGTCGGATTTCTCGCCTGTGCATTTGAGCTCTCCCGAACCTCAAGCTACCTATAAAATCCCGGAAGATATGTACTTCGGTGGTATGAATTCTGGAAAATCGTTAAAGATCAACGACACTCGGGACATGGACCAGAGTGCCCCTGATTTGGACGACGATTTCTTGTATGATAGAGAAGTTGCAGATGACATCGAAGAGGCTCCAATTAGAGATGCCGGTAATGAGATAAATAACAATGTAACGACATATAACACATCGAACAATCTCGAAACAGGACCCTCTGCCGATGCCCTACAGACTACAGAAACCCCCAAGAGGACCGAGCAGGAGGACACTGCAGCAGCCATCACAGATGCTGCAGGGATTGTAGAGAAAGATGATGTATTTGCTAATGCAAGAATGAGCAGTTCTCTCGTGTCGTTAAAGTCCTACTCGAACTTATTGCCAGAAGATGATTTCCCCGACATTATTGATGCAGATCCAGATACAGACTGTGAGTGAAAACAAGGTACTGACAATCTTAAATCAATTTTGTAGCGTAAGGATGTTGTTTTAAGTTCAATATTAACTATGATTTTTTGTGTTGTATTTCGTGTTACCATAGTTTAAGCTAATCGTGGAAGAAGAAGAAGAAGCTATGTATTTAAAGAGCTTAGGATGCGACATTTTTGGTCATAAAATTAGGACATTGTTCATTCCCACCTAGCAAAATTAATTGTCTTTGAATTAGACTTTTTACACATTTTTGGTCAAACAGGCTTTTTTTGGACTAAATTTATTTTTGACAAAATTCATAAAATTCAGTACAAAATGATCAAACGAGAAGATTTTATTTATTTATTAATAGATAAATTGTGTTGGCAATTATTTTTATTTAGAAGAAAAATAGTTGTAATTGATTGAGGTATGTAGCAGTAATAATAAAATAAATGTTTAATTAATAAAAATACTCTTAATTTGTGTACTTGGTCTTGAAAATATTATTAAATTTTTTTAAAAAAATTAATAATGCCTTAAGACATTAAGAGTGTGGAAATTTCTCTTTTAACGTGTTTTAAAATCTTGAGGTGAAGTTTGGAAGGGAAAACATAGTAAGAGTGTGGAAATCTCTCTCCCGTTTTAAAATCTTGAGGGGAAGTTTGGAAGGGAAAATCCGATCCTTAAAAATCATGAGGAGAAGCTGGGAAGAAAAGCTTGTCCTTAAAAATCATGAGGGGAAGCCCGAAAGGAAAGCCAGTTTAAACCATAACGAAAAGTATTTTAAAAATATTTTGCATTTTTTAATTTTCATTAATATCTTTAAATTTTTTAATCTGATATTTTTTAAAATTAATGATACTTTTAAACACAAATTAAAAAAAAAATAATATATATATATATATATATATATATATATATATATATATATTNTTTTTTTTTTTTTTTTTTTTTTTTTTTTTTTTTTTTTTTTTTTTTTTTTTTTTTTTAAGTTTATGGTACTTTTAATTTGTTTTTTTAATTTTGATTTTGATTTTTTTAACCTAAAATATAAAATTTATGAATATTTTTATTAATTTAACTTAAAATAAGGAAATCGATTTTTTTTTTTAAATGAAAATAGAAAAATATTTCATTAGATTAAGGGCGGGTGTTAAATAATCATAAGTTGATTTATTATACTCTTGAATCTAAAACCAAAGATACTATATTTTGCCAGTATTTCATGTAACTCTTCGAGGTCATCCTAATAAAACTTGAATTGTTGTAGTTATTGAATTTTCTAGTACATAAACCGTACAAAAAAAAAAAAACTAATTTAAATCTTTTATGGTAATTATTTGTTAAAAAGATTATTCCAAATCTTATTTTTAATTTTGTGATGTAATAATCCTAAATTTGAAATACTCTTTATTTATTTATTATTATTATTATTATTATTATTATTATTATTTTCTAAGATGTGATTATCAATGAGAATTTCCCCCATTTTCTTTTAAATATTTTTAGTTTTTGCAAGTATTTTTTGGTTCTATAATCTCCAAACTGTTAAATCGAAGCCCAATAAATGGAATGACAACCCACGTGATTCACGAGGATGTCCAATTCTCATTGGACTTCAAATTTATGGTACACGTGAAAAATGAGTTAAATTTTCCTTTTTTTTTTATTTTTTTTTAATTTTTTTATTTTAGAAAAACCATATCCCAAGCTCGTTGTTATATAACATCACTAATATCCTTTTATTAATATTAGCCTTTCAATTATGCTCATCTCCAATTTGTTTGTATTTTATTTAATAAATAATAAGTAATAAATACTCTACTAAATAAATTTAAATGAATAAACACGTCACTCGTCATTTATATAAATATATTATAAATCTAAAATTATAATTTAAACTTTTTTAAATATCAAAATGTTCAAAATACTAATTTGACTTAAAACTTTTTTTTTCAAAATTAAAATTTTAAAATATAATTAGCACAAATTTATATTTATTAAATCAATTGATTGTTAAAAATTAAAAACCGAAACTTTTAATTAAAAATTTTAAAACTAAAATTATAATTTAACTTATTAAAAATTACTAAATTATAAATACACCCTTAAATTGGGTAATTTATTTAAAAATTATTTCTATTCTCATTTTTTCATAAATATTTTAAAAATTATAAATAAATAAATTTGATAACTTACCGTAAAAATTGATAATGGTGGCTGACGAATAAAAAAAAATGGACAATATCTATTAACGGTAGACTTGAACGGTAACAAATGATATCAAAACTAGACACCATTAATACTCAAAGAGGTGTATTGTGAGATCTCACGTCTATTAAAGAATGAAACAAAATATTTTTTATATGAATATGAAAACTTTTTATTAATAGATATGTTTTAAAGCCGCGACTTCACTAGAATACTTAAAGTAATGGGTGCACGTGACAAACATAGTCCATAGGCGTACCGTTCTGCAAGCAAGAATGCGTGGGCCCCACAGTGGACAATTTTTCAATTTCAGAAACTCTGGGCACAGTGCGTACCCGCCTTCTTCCTTTTCCACCTCCAACCTATAAGACTCACCTCCCATTTCATACCCCCACGGATCTCGCTTCTATTCTCTCTTTCTCTCTCTGGATTCACTTTCCGCATTTTCGTCCTCCCTGTCTTTTTTCTCTTCTTTTTTTGTTGAAAATTGTTTCAATTCTGATCAGCGAAGTCGCTTTCCATGGCGATTTGTAGAGAATTGGCGGGTGAAAAATGGGTGTTGATGACCACTGCACAAACGCCGACGAACATTGCGGTGATTAAGTATTGGGGGAAGAGGGATGAGGCCTTAATTTTGCCTGTCAATGATAGCATCAGTGTTACTCTTGATCCGAGTCATCTCTGTACTATCACCACCGTCGCTGTTAGTCCCGACTTCGAGAAGGATCGAATGTGGCTCAATCGCAAGGTAAGATTTCTTGTAACTTCTCTTTCTTTTGCTCATTTGGTGAAATTGCATATGATTTTGGAGATTTGTGGTTGTTGTGGAATCTGGTGCGTTCTTTGTTGTTGCGGACTTTAGTCAACGGTGATTTTGATGAAATCGATGTCGTTGTCTTCTCTGTTCTGGAATCCTGTGGGAATGCAGTGTAAATTTTGGAAGTTTCAGTTCTCCTTTAGTTCGTAATCCACGGTAGCTCTTTTGTTTGATGATATGCGTTTGGTAACACTAAATCCAGGAATGGATGTATAAGTTTTCTCTTGAAAAAAGGATTCTGTGTTGACTTAAGTCCATGAGGTTGATGCTCGGCTGAATGTGGTGGTTCCGGTAACAAAATCAATTGGAAGTTCGTTTTTGGTTTGTGAGCTTCTATGGAGGAGAGATCTTATTTTGTGTTGGGTGGAGCTTACTACTTGCTTGGATGAATGTAGACCTCATTTCTCTACTCTTCTTGGTTCCTTTTGCCCTTTTTGATAGCGTGAATAATTCTCTAGTGGACATTTTTGTGAGATACCACATCGGTTCGGGAGTAGAACGAAACATTTTTTATAAGGATGTGGAAACCTCTCCCTAGCAGACGGGTTTTAAAAACCTTGAGGGGAAGCCCGAAAGGGAAAACCCAAAGAGGATAATATTTGCTAGTAGTTGGTTTGGGCTGTTACAAATGGTATTAGAGTCAAACACCGACTGATGTGCTAGTGAGGAGGTGTCGTGGACACGAGGCGATGTGTTAGCAGCAAGGACATTTGGCCCCAAAGGGGGGGATTGTGAGATCCCACATTGATTTGGGAGGAGAACGAAGCATTCTTTATAAGGGTGTGGAAACCTCTTCCTAGTAGACGTGTTTAAAAAACCTTGAAGGGAAGTCCGAAAGGGAAAATTCAAAGCTGACAATATTTGCTAGCGGTGGGCTTGAACTATTAAAATTTTAGTTTCGGAATGGTGCTTTGAAATTATGGAATATAAAGTGCTCAATGATTAGAAGGCTTTAGAATGGTGTCTTCTTATGCAGAAAGTAGAACTTTAGAAGTCAAAGATACCATTCGATTCTAGGAGATTACTTTTTGGCGGGTCTAGTAACTTCCCATCAGAATTCCTTTCCAGACACTTAATTGAAGGGTTTATTTTCCTGTGGGTATCTTGTTGTTGGCTGTGCCAATGCCCCCTTGATAGGGTCCAAACTAGAACCCAACTAACTACCTCATCGGATCGATACTGCTCGTAAAGTGGGAATGTATATTCATGTATACATTCCTAGACACAAATACAATCTCTTTCCCTATCAAATTGTAGGAAATGTGATGAAATAAACTTTCACAACTTTGTTTCTGTAGTTTTTTTGCTGGTTCATGATGGGGTTTCTTTTCTGGTTAGTGTAGGAGATATCTCTTTCTGGAGCCAGGTACCAAAATTGTTTGAGGGAAATACGCAGTCGAGCGAACGATGTTGAGGATGAAGAAAAGAAGATTAAGATAGCAAAGAAAGACTGGGAAAAGTTGCATGTATATATTGATTCATACAATAATTTCCCAACTGCTGCTGGCTTGGCTTCCTCTGCTGCCGGTTTTGCTTGTCTTGGTAAAAACCTGACTTCACTCTTAATTTTGGAATTCTCTTTCTGATTCGTTTCGGGGCTTACGGTTTCGCGAACTAGTTCAGGTTTATTTATTATTTATGAGGATAAGAAATTGCTTTTCTTTGAAAAAAATTAATTTAACTTTTCATTGATATGTGAAAAGTATCAAGGAATAGGAAACCCATAGTAGAGGGGTAATAAGAGAGATTAAAGGAACATGGATTAGATATGTTGGAAAATTTTGAAAATGTTTGCAAAAAGGATCGAGGATCTATTTGGAACGACATTTCAAGTGCTTAAATTTTTTATAAACATTTGGAAAGTCATTCCAAACAAGCTCTTATTGTTTATATCGATATGTTGTTAATTTACCATATGCTTCATCTTATGAAATATAACTAATATTACGCTGGTATCTGCAGTCTTTGCCCTGGCAAATTTAATGAACGTCAAGGAAGATCATAGCCAGTTGTCTGCTATAGCAAGGTATCCTTGTCCTTTGTCCTTTTTCAAATACAATATTATGGCTGGTTTTATTGTGCCATCCTTTCTTGTTTGGGTAGAGCGCTTTCGAGTCGACCGCGTAGTCATAATATAGACTTCCAATATAGTAGTGTTCTTTTTATTTTTATTTGTTATATGTTATTTCAATGAAATTTCTGATGTTTAATGACATTGATTCATATATTACAAAGTAATCACGACTATTTGAATCATGCAGGCAAGGTTCGGGAAGTGCATGTCGTAGCTTATATGGTGGATTTGTGAAGTGGAACATGGGAAAAGTAAGTTTATCCATTCATATATTTAAATTTGCAAAGTTCAGGAATTTGACTTGTTCTTTTACGCATACAATCCTGATTTCTGATATACATTATTGAGATTAGTTCTTGTGTTATCTGATGCACCATTAAGGAAAAGGATGGAAGTGATAGTCTTGCAATTCAACTTGCTGACGAGAAGCACTGGGATGATCTTGTAATAATCATTGCTGTGGTGCGTAGCTCTCTCTCTCTCTCTCTCTCTTGTTTTTTTTTTTTTTTTTTTTTTTTTTTTTTTTTTTTTTTTTTTTTTTTTTTTTTTTTTTTTTTTTTTTTTTTTTTTTTTTTTTTGTGCAATTTGGTTTTTTAAATAAAAATAAAATAAAAAGGGAGGACAAACTGTTCTCCAATTGGCTTGGATGACACAATGACATGAGTGTTCATGGAGGCTTGTGTGAGATCCCACATCGATTGGAGAGGGAACGAAACATTATTTATGATGATGTGGAAACTTCTCCCTAGGAGTTGTGTTTTAAAAACTTTGAGAGTGCCAGCGAGGATGCTGAACTTCGAAGAGGGTAGACACCGAACGGTGTGCCAATGAGAGGGGGGTGAATTGTGAGATCCCACATCGATTGGAGAGAAGAACGAGTGTCAGTGAGGATATTGGGCTCGGAAGGGATGTAGAGTGTGAGATCCCACGTCGATTGGAGAGGGGAACGAAATATTTTTTATAACGGTGTGGAAACCTTTCCCTAACAGACGTGTTTTAAAAACCTTTAGGGAAAGCCCGAAAGAGAGTCCAAAGAAGACGATATCTGCTAGCAGTAAGTTTGAGCTTGGGCAGGCGGTTAAGGCTCGGCCGTAAAAGCCCACCTCAAATCCAAAGAACAATGTGAAATGAATTATGATAAATAATATCCAATAGTTAGCATAGCTTTTCCTTATTTCCCATTGGATGGTTCTCCAGTAATCTGCAATGTTATTTTCTATCTTACTTTCAAGGTAAGTTCGCGACAAAAGGAAACAAGCAGTACATCAGGAATGCGAGAAACCGTAGAAACAAGTTTGCTTTTACAACATAGAGCAAAGGTATTCTAATTAAAAACAATATTGTTGTTCTCCATAGTCCATATGCATTTCTATTCATGTCTCGTTTCTTTAACAGGAAATTGTACCAAAGCGTGTATTAGCTATGGAAGAAGCTATTAAAAATCGCGATTTTGCATCGTTTGCACAATTGACATGCAACGACAGCAACCAATTTCATGCAGTCTGTCTCGACACTTCTCCCCCGATATTTTATATGAATGATACATCCCACAGGCAAGCTTAATTACCAAATCGACCTATAAGATTCACATGACTATCTCCTACCATTTTGATTAAAAATCTTTGTTTCATTCTGACAAAAGAAACAATGTTTCAGGATAATCAGCCTTGTTGAGAAATGGAACCGTTCTGAAGGAGAACCACAGGTCTGATTTTTCCCCCATTCTTGATTTATGTTGGCAAGGGATTTTAAATACTGATTTGAGATTGCTAAGTGTTAAGGATCGCCAATTTAGGGAATGATCGTAGGTTTATAAGTGATGAATACTATTTCTATTGGCATGAGGCCTTTTGGGAAAGCCCAAAGCAAAGCCACGAGAGCTTATACTCAAAGTGGACAATATCGTACCATTATGGAGATCCGTGATTCTTAACATGGTATTAGAGTCATGCCCTTAACTTAGTCATATCAATAAAATCCACAAATATCGAACAAAAAAGTTGTGAGCCTAGAAGGTGTAGTCAAAAGTGACTTAAGTGTCGAACAAATGATGTACTTTGTTCGAGGACTTCAGAGAAGGAGTTGAGGCTCGATTAAGGGAAGGTGGTTCGAGGGCTCCATAGGCCTCAAAGGAGATTCTATAGTGTACTTTGTTCGAGGGGAGGATTATTAGAAGGGAGTCCCACATTGACTAATTTAGGGAATGATCATGGGTTTATAAGTGAAGAATACTATCTCCATTGACATGAGGCCTTTTGGGGAAGCCCAAAATAAAGCCACGAGAGCTTATGTTCAAAGTGGACAATATCATACTATTGTGGAGATTCGTGATTCCTACTCTTCTCGATGATTTTTATCAGTTTCCAGTTCAGAAAATGAACCAAACTTCCAATAGGATGAATAAAAGAATGATTCTATAGAGCTCAAAAAATAGGATGAATGGAAGTGCTGAAGATTTTCCTTATTTCAACCAAACTTTCAGGTGGCATATACTTTCGATGCCGGGCCGAATTCGGTTCTGATTGCACGTAATCGAAAAGCTGCTGTATCTTTGCTTCAAAGGTTGCTGTTCTACTTCCCTCCCAATGCCGAAACGGTATTAGACAGGTAATAACTGGATTTTGAGAATCAATCAAAATCTATAACTGTATTAATTTCAATCTTGTGCATGATAAATAATATTCTTTCTTCCATCAGTTATGTTCTTGGCGATAAGTCAATTCTTCAAGATGCTGGGATTAAGAGTGTTGAGGATATTGAATCCCTCCCACAACCTCCAGAAATCAACAGTTCATCCCAGAAATACCAGGGAGATGTCAGTTATTTCATCTGTACCAAGCCCGGGAAAGGGCCGGTCGTGCTCCCCGAGAGTGAATCACTACTCGACCCGAAAACCGGGCTGCCAAAGAACCTCTAGGGATTGTATTAGTCCTATGCAATGTTTTTACTGAAGGCGAGACTCGGAGAGTTCAGGTTAGATGATCGGTCAACCGAGTATTCTAAGGTAAACTTGTGTTTGTTCACGTTAATCCAGTTAATGTTGAGAATAATTTCAGTGTCTTAGTATTGTTTGCTTGTTTTGTTTAGGGCTGAGCTTCCATTGTCAAAGAGAGTAAAATCATGACAAAATAAATGAATTGAGAATGAATCTTCCCTTCTTTCATTGTATGCATTTATCATATCATCATATATATTTGATATCATTAGAGGAGCTCAGGCGGATGCTAAATTTATGAAATTTTTATACGGAAAAAATTGCATGTAGGTTTAGTCTCAATTGGAGAGGGGAACAAAGTATTTCTTATAAAGGTGTGGAAACTTCTCTCTATAGGACGCGTTTTAAAATTGTGAGTCTAGCAACTATACGTAACGGGTCAAAGTGGACAATATCTGTTAACGGTGGGCATGAGCAATTTCATCCTCCTTCCATTCAATCCCGTCATTACCACTTACTGTCGACAATATTTCAGTTTTTTTTTTCTTTCGTCTCCTATTTGAAATGTTCCCCTTCGTCTTAGAATGGCTACCCTTGTTCCAAACGCACGTCTTCCTTCGTCTCCCATTTTAACTGTTCCCCTTCGTCTTAGAATGACAACCCTTGTTCCAAACGCACGAGGAGACAAATTCAATGACCCACGATTAGCATAAATGAATTTAGAATGACGACCCTTATTCCAAGTAGTATTAGATGAACACGACTCTCCAAAATAGTATGATATTGTCCACTTTTAGTGTACGCTCTCATGACTTTGTTTTTAGTTTCTCCAAAAGGCCTCAAGCCAATAGAGATAATATTCTTACTTATAAATTCATGATCATTTCCTAAATTAACCGACGTGCGACTTTTATCATCCAACACATAGATCACATTCGTGAGCACAGACAACAAAAAAAATGATGGAGAAGAGATCAAAATGCAAATAAATAAAAATTCGAGGGTTAAATTGTTGATTTAGAAAATTAAGTGACTTATTCGATAATTTTGTAAAATTTAGAGCTATAAAATTGTTTAATTATCAACTTACTTTTGGACAAACCTTATTTTGGCGGGATATTTATTGCCCGACTATTAAAAGGGGAATTCCGAAATACCCAAAGTAGAGGGGCCGAATAGCAATTTACCAAATTAAAAAATCTATGTATATAACAATCAATTGGATGTCTGTGAAGAACCGGACGAAGAAATGGCGGGAATATCTCGCTTGCAAGTGCATCTCCTTCACTCTGCTCCTCCCGCTCTCAAGTCGACAACGCTCCTCTCGAGGTGTTCTCACTTCTCTTGCTCTACTCCGCGTAAAATTTTCACTCCTCGTCTTCTCTGTTCGACTCCTCAGGTTCGTCTCCGTTTTTCTATCTCATTTTGAATGAAAAGTTGTGTAATGTGTTCGTATATTTGTTGTGATATAGAGTTCTTCTTTGGAGGCTGGTTCGAGTTCGAGCAGTGTTGGTGATCTTCTCGACTATCTCAATGAGTCATGGACTCAGTTTTATGCTACAGGTATTGATTGCTTTTGTATCATCTTTTATCGCTATGTTTTTATTTGGTGCTTCGATTCGAAGAGGAGTTCCTTGCGTATTGACTGGACAATAAATCCTAATTAGCGCTGTGGCTGCTAGTTTTTTGATTCCGTAGAGTGATTTGAATTGTTATTGTTGAATTGTTTCGAGTCGACGTGTTCGTTTATTGTCGTGCATTCATGATTCGTCGTTCACTTCTCACCTTGGAGGCCGAGGTTTGGAATTTTTATAGCGGAATCATAGATACCTTCGATTCAACATTCTGGTGATAGAATTTGTGATACGGATACCTTGCTCAGTGTTCTTTATCTATTTTTTCCTTTTTCTCGCAGCCGAAGCGAAACGGCAATTAGTTGCTGCTGGTTTTCATTTGCTAAACGAGGCTGAAGAGTGGTACTTAAAGCCTTGTGGATGCTATTTTTTTACACGAGATATGTCTTGTTTGGTTGCCTTTTCCATAGGAGAAAAGTGAGTTCTAGAATTTTTCTTCTAATTTTCAGATCTGCAAATCATTCCGCTTATTTGTTATTCAATTTATGTGGCTTATGAAACTACAGAAGAAATCTGGCTAGTCGGCTACTTGACTTGTTTTGCAAGATTTTGCTCCTGGTCTACTCATCAGTTTGTAGCTTTCCTTGCGTCAAGCTATTGTGCTTTGAGAGCTCTTATTGATTCTTGTGAGTCGCCTAGTGACTTAAAGAGTGTACAGGCAGTTCGAATGGTTGCTTTATTTGATAATGAAGAGGTAATAGTTTTACTGTGTACTATATGATGATATGCAGACCGGAAGTCTTGCATCTCTTGGATTGGTCAAAGATATTTGCATATTTGCTCTCTCTTCCATATAAATTGTTTATAATTTGATCATGTCTATTGCTATGATAAGATAGTACTGCCTATTAATTATAGAACTGAAGATTTTAGGCACCTTTGATCACCAGAAATGCAGTCTATTTCTGTTTCCTTCAGCCATTAGAAAGATGAGTAGAAGTGAATTTTCTAGATAAGGGGATGAATGATCATCGGTCCATACTCCGGTGGTACACTTTCTGCTAGAGGGTAAAGCAATACCTTCCAAGCGCATGAAAACCAAAAGAGATCAGAAGTTTCCCAATCATTTTTATTCCAAGTCTCTATGTTTTGTGAAGAACTACAAGAATTATGTAGAAGACAGACAAGGATGATAATTTGTAACAGTCTAACCCCACCGCTAGTAGATATTGTCTACTTTGGCCCGTTATGTATCGCCGTCAGACTTACGATTTTAAAATGCGTTTACTAGGGAGAGGTTTCCACACCCTTTATATGTAATACTTCATTTCCCTCTCCAACTGATGTAAGACCTCACATAATTTGTTGCACCACCTAGCGAGGATATAAAATATAGAGACCCTCCAATATGGAAGTATCCTCAATATCTTCTCGTTTTCACTCTTATGAGAAAATGAGGGAAAACTATGAGTTTCTAAAATCAATCTTCCAACTGCTATGTCTACGTCTCACTACACTGCTCTGTAATCTTAGTAAAAGAGTGCATCCCAAAGAATTATTTCTTATTTGATACATCCAAAACTATGTTAACTTTTTACATATTAGCTTATTCTAAGGTTCCAACTCATCTAGTTCCAATTCGTCTGCTGCATCAAGATCCTTCAGTTATTCAAATGATCTTCAGAAGTGTTAGTGACAACAAAAAGATTTGAGTGGTTCAAAGAGAGGTCATTTTATAGGACGGGATTTCATTGATTCCCGGAGTTGGTTGGGATTTTTGTGGATGAAATTGAATTCACCTCCTCCTTGGTAGTAAGGTAATTGATGAATTAAGGTTCTTTCTGCAAATAAATAATTGTCATTTGCTTGTCTTTTAAGTAACCTAGTATGATCATTACTTGACAGCTGTTTCACACACAAACACACACATATATTAGTCGTTAACTTTCCCTATTTAGGTGGGCTCAGGTTCAATTCAGGGAGCTGGTGCACCCACCATGTTTCAGGCCATGAGGCGCATAGCCAGCTGCTTAGGCCAAGGATACGTTGGTGAAGGTGCTTTTGAGCGCGCTTTTAGGCAATCATTTCTCGGTACGTTCAATTCAAAGTAGAAAAGGATTTTTCTTTCCCTTGAAAGATCAAGTACTATACATTTAACGTGCGAACTAACTCATGATAGGAAAAGTAACTGAAATAGTCGAGTAGCAAGCTTAAATTAATTGAGTATATGAACTTGAAATAGTCGAGTAGCAAGCTTAAATTAATTGAGTATATGAACTTGAAAAAGTTGGAGGTGTTCTGATTTAATTTCAAATGCTTTGCATCTCATCGAAATTTTTGCTGGTTGTAGGTGTTGTATGGTTTAATTTGTATCACCTTTACCTGTTTCCTAATTCCTAAGACTAAAAAATTACTTTCTAATACAGTTATTCTTGAGTCAGAGCGTAGATATTATTGTTGGTTTATCCACATGTAGATAAGTGTAAACTGGTCGAAAAAATTACATTTTCAACAAAAATCACAAACCTCCACACTGGTATGATATTGTTCACTTTGAGCATAAACTTTGTGGTTTTTGTTTTTGGTTTTTCCAAAAACCCTCGTTCCAATGGAAATTGTATTCTTTACTTATAAAATTCATGATCATCCTCTTAATTAGTCAACGTGGGACTACTCTTAATAAACTCAACATACTCGATTAGTTTACAATAAAGATTAATTTGAACACAGTATAGGAAAATGTAGTATGCTTCTGTTACATATCTTAACTTCTAATTTCTTCCCTATATAATTGTATTCTAAATATTCATCCAAATCTTATGGATAAGCATGAAGAAGAACACCACAGACCCGAAATGCCAAAAGGACTTGTCATAAAGCGCAATGCGAACCAGCGCTATGCTACAAGCGGAGTCACATCATTTCTTTTCAGAGAAATAGGCAGAATTCATAACTTACCAACGCCAGGTATGTCACGGGCTTCTACCCCTTTCCCAGTACTATCTATTAATTTAGTTCTTGCGCTGACTGAGTCCAGTTATGAACATTCCCTTTACCATATGCTAATTTTCATTCTACTGTTGTGAACTGTTATTAATATTGAAATTAGATATGGTTCCCTTTCTGAGTACCTAAATTATAACTTTGATTGATTCCATCTAAATTGGGCATATCATGGTAGATTTTTTGTTTTAGTTTTTTTTTTTTAATTATTAATATTCACAAATGCTGCGTGTGATGATGGTAGGATTTTGTAGTGAGAAATGCTACGGGTTGTGGATCTACCATTGGTCCAATACTTGGTTCTGGAGCTTCCATCCGTACTGTGGATTGTGGTATCCCTCAACTTTCTATGCGCAGGTACATAAATAGCTGATTCCTCCTCTTCACTGTATGCTATTGCACTCCATTTATTAAAAAGGGGTTTTGAAATGGAAAAATTATTCCAAAGCATGAGTTTATTATTTCAAATTAATTTTTATGGTTAGAATATTGCCTTTGAAAATATAAAATCGAAATTTAAATTAATTTTAAATGATTAAATACATGACAAAATTGATTTTAATCATTTCAAAATTACTTCTAAATGTTGTGATGTCATTTTGTGATCAGTAATGGGGTTGATATACATATGAGATTAGTAGGGGGAAAGCTCATAATACTGTTCCCTCAAATATATATTGTGATTTTTTTTTTTTTTTTTAAATGGGAAACGAAAATATCTCCGTCCAATGTAGTTAAATTCTCTTTCACATTTTGGAATAACTTTAATTCGATATTTTTGAACCATTGATTAGAGTTGACAGACTGTTATCAATAATTATTTTAAGTCTTCGAATTTTTTTTTTTTTTTTTTAAATAAGTTTATACAGACTACTTTTACTTTTAACTTATAGATTATTAAAAAAGATATAGTTTCTAAGCCTTTTTTATATAACTTTGATTTTTTATTTTTGAAAATTGTGTTTGAATTTTGAAAACATTTGTAAAATGTATATGAGAAATGGAGAAATTCATATCTAAAAGTTATAAGATTAATTTTTTTAAAAATAAAATAAAATAATATTTAAATAGTTATCAAAATTTGGCTAAGAATTCAATCTTTCCTATAGACAAATTGGGAAAAGTCGGGTACACTGAAAAAATAAAAATGGTTAGCACAAGCTGCATTGATGTATTTTCATGCCCGTCTTTGAACATAATCCATGTAGGCAAGTTGTTTTTGGTGGCATAACAGAAATTTGCGGGAAGGAAGATGTAGTAGACACAGCTTACAAGTGTATTTCAAGGCCTTTTATGAAACGTTTTCGAGCATTGACAGAAGAGCTGAAGCTGGATGTTTGATTGGAGGGAAAGGGAAAGGGAAACAACACAACAAAAGGTATTTACTACCCATTTATGCGTTCTCCTAACATTTACATTCGAAAACAAACATAAAATGCTACACATTTTTTAAACTAAGGAAAAAAAAAATGCAAAATCCACCACCCTCCCTTTTAGGCGGAAAACAGAAACAAATTTAAAGGTCTCATTTAACAATTATTTTTTTATTTTAAACCATCCATAGTTTTAGTTTTTTTTTTTAGTGTTGGCTTCTAATTACTTTTTTATTTTTTGTTTTAAAATGAGAACTTTAAAACTCACATCTGATTAATTTTAAACCATCCATAGTAATAGTTTATCGTTCCCTTTTTTAAAAGAAAATTGTTACAAGAAAATTGTTATCTGTTACAAGAAAACTGTTCGTCTTTTTTATTTTCAAAAGCTCTACGTTATTAAATGAGACCATCTAATTACTTTTTGATGTTTTTTGTTTTTAAGGATGGAACAAATTTTTTGCTTTCAATCTTTAAAAGAATTTTGTTAAGTTTTTTCATTGAACTTTGAGACAAAAAGTTTGAAAGAAAAAATGCAGTGTGATTGACATTAGTAAATATATTGAAAACAGTTTTAATGTCAGGAGAGAATTTCAATTTTGGAAAGGGAAATATGTTTGAAATCATCTTGGCTGATACTTTTTCTTTTTCTTTCTATTTTTTTCGAAAACTAACATCTGAAGAAAAAAAGCCACAGTTTTATTAGAAAGGGTTAGGCAAGTAGGAGGCAGACTCAGAGTTTTATTATTAATGATTTAGCAACTAGAAAATTGAAATATATTTTCAAAGCTTAATTTTTTTCTGGATACAAAAATGACTCATGTAAAAATAATCTAACATCTAATAACCATTTAATTTTTTTGTTTTGAAAACAGTGATTATTTTACCATTAATTAATGAACCTAGAAAGAAATAGTATTTATATTCGTAACTTTTAAATTATTAGCTAAATTTTAAAAGCAAAAATAAGTTGACATCAATGAACCTAAAAAGTAGTATTTATATTCGCAACTTTTTAAAAACTAAAAAATAAAATCCAAGTAATCATTTAGTGGGCCTAAAATTAATTAATGTTTACCAAAACTTGCTTTGTTTTTCAAAATTAATAAAAAACAGATAATAAAATGATAGTTAAACACAACAAAGAAATTTGTTTTATCCTCAATTCAAACTGAAAAGTCGTTTTCAAAATTGAAAAACAATATGTACAAAAGAAAAAAGGATAGCCATCAAATTGGGGTTGTTTTTCAATTTAAAAATCAATCAAATGCTTGAGAAGTACAAAATTTAATAAAAACATGCAAAAGAGATTGTATAGCTCTGCTTGTTGGTGCAACTTTCAATCCATCGACATTCTCGATCATTCTAAAAACATGCAAGAATCATCCAATGAAACTAATTGTGGGAAGCATCCACATAAAGTTCATAAAAGTAATAGGTCATTAGATTCTACCTCAGTTCTCTATGCTCGGCCCCACCATTTGAGGAGAATAAGCATTAAACGAAACGGTGTAGGCTTGGCCGATGCCCTTATAGAGACAAAGCTAATCCAAAAGCTAAAGGCAAAAAAGGAAGTTAGCAAAATAAATCGAAGAAACAAACCTGGTAAATGCTTTAAAGGTAAGGAATAAAAAAGTACAAGGAGTTAAAATGACAATACATTGGGATTTCGATCGAAAAGGTGTTAGGCCAATTCCTCATGTGCCTAAGAAGTCAGGGAAATCTCGATTGAAACCAATTGTTTTTCCTACTCAATCTTTTTTATAGAAAGAGCACTCCAAGAACATAAGCAAGTTTAGTAGTTTCATCCTCTATAATCAATGGGAACCTCGAAGCTGTCTGAGGCAGAAGGAACCTCATATTAGACACTGCCACGTCTGAAAGAATGGGAAAGCTGACCAAAAAACTATTTTATAACCAACTTTTGTTGTCGAATCGAAGGGACTTGACTTGTACCTGGCTCTAAAAGAGTTTTCTTCAAGCAAGTTGTCTTTCGATATTTTTGGGTTGCATGCCCAAGGCGATGTGAGATGGATGGATTTTTGCTATCGTACACCTTCCAACCTTTCAACTACCAGTTGACCATATACAAGCCCAAAAAATCAAAATCATGTGAGAAATAAAGGAAGATACCAAAATAAATGGAAGGAAAGTTTTTAAGGGTTCGTCTGCAATGAAGCTGAGTTTAAATGGAAGGCGTTATTGATGTTCATACCGAGAAAGGGGATGATGAACTTGCTCGTGACGAGGAATAAAAGGCATTTCAGACTGCTGGAAAAGATACCGAGAGGAATGCAGAAAAATGGCTGATGTGTAGTGTGCATCAAACCTTTAAACTAAAAGGCCAAATAACTCTATGGAGGGCCAGACCTTATATCTTCAGGGCAATGAGCACCTACACAGGGAAAAAGTGGCCGAGGTTGAGATTCAGAAGAATCCTATCTCTGAGAAGATCCCGAAATTCGTTCACAACAACAGGACGTAGAACTCTGTTTACCATGGTTTTTCCAGCTTAACTACCAGCTAATAAACCAACTACAAAATCAGCAAACAAACTAAGTAAACAACGAGCTATAATAGATGAAATCCCTAAACATTGTCTTTATTGGATTCTTAAACTACTAAAAATTACGTCCATAAACTTTAGTCAAAATTATGTGTTCAATAAATCTTTCCTATTTGATGTTTTTAAAATTTACAAACCTAGGATCATAACATATAATTCAATTTCATATCTAAGAGATAGATTAATTTTTAAAAAAATGTTAAATATGTAATGGAGAAAATTAAAAGTTTGAGGACCTATTAAATACATTTAAAGGTTCATGAACTAAATAAACACAAATGAAAATTTAATTACTAAACTTGTAATTTAACCTAGATAATATAGGGATTCTCTACCTAACAGAGACCTGAACAGTAACCATCAGCATTAAATCATTAGCATGAGAAATCGAGTGGAAATACTATGAACTCAACATAGACCTTTGTGTGCATGTAGTATAGAAAAGGAAAGGAAATCTGCAATCGATAGACAGAAGTTTTATTCAATAATCAAGTGGAAAGACTATTAATCACCTTCACCACCACAGCGTACTCAATGTAGATTATGCACTAAAAGGAAAGGAAATCTACGATATAGTCGGCAATTTATGCTACTACCTTGTACAAAAAAGAAATGCTATTAGAGAGTACTTTCCAGAAATCAAATCGCAAACCTACTTGGAACACCGCATATAAGAACTCAGCGTATACATGCATGCGTATAGAAAACAAAAGGAAAGGAAGGAAAACGAACCTACAATATTATCAGAAATTTTATTCTATCCGCCTAGTACAGAAAAAATCCATTAAAGATAACGTAAACATACCGAGAAGGAAATGAGACTCACGATATCATAAGTAATTTTATTCTATCTGATTTTAAACATGTAATTGGAGTATTCCTCCGAGAAATCACCACCAATAGCAACAAAATACCACACAAATAACACGATGTCAAGTAGAGTGATTCAGACAAGTAAAACAGATGGCGATGTTCGTCGAGACGAGTAAACAATAAACCACTTACTCGATAAGCGTTTGCAAGGATTCTGAAAAGCCTCACGAAGCAACCGATCAACCTGAAGAATAGACTTGTCAAATTCTTGCCAGGAATCGAACGATCGAGAGAACAGCACCGTCCATGAACGATCGAGAGTCAGCGACCTTCCATGACTCAGGATTTACGAGATCCTCTGCTGCAGAGTTCTCCATAATAAGAAAAATGACTAAACCTCTATGCTCTTGGCAGCAATCGAAGCATTAGAGAACAAAAAAGCATCGAAAACAAAGATCGAAGGTAATCGAAAACTCAGATTGCATGATTAATCTCTAGGAGTTAAGGCTTCAGTGTCGGAAAGCGGCAGAACAAGAAAATTAATCGAGAGATGAAATTTGGCGCGATTGATGGCAACGGTGGATTTTCCCGTGCCATACAGAACGCAGCAAGACAAGAAATGGAGAAAAAATGCATCAAACCGAAGATCGCAGATAAATTAAGGAACTCGGATTGCATTGAATCTCTAGGGGTTAGGGTTCCTCGCTCTTAGTCCCAACTGAACTTCGGCGGGAAACTGTTGAAAGAAGAAATAAAACATAAGTTTTGGACTCCGACTTATTTATAGCGTAGGAAATGTTTGAATATTATTTATTTATTTTGTCGCAAGTTTTATTATCTCAATTTTCAAATATGTTATTTTATTTTTTTCAATTTTATCGAAAACATATTTGACTATTATTTTTAATAAAAATTAATATAGGCAACTTCTTGGGTTCATTTTTCTCATGGAAAAAAATGTGTATTTAACAAGTGGTTTAAACCACATGGGATAACTATATATATAATGACCTAATAGATTAGCAATTTACATTTTAAATAATTTTAAAAATAATATAAAAATATTTTTATAATATTTTAGAGACTCCGCTGATGTCACCTTCAATCTTTTCTCTCTAAAATTCGAATGCTAATTCACCACTAATTTCTATCATATTATTGAAATATAAAAGTAAAACATAGAATATTATTTGTTACCACTCATGGTAAGAAATATAATATAATATATATATATATATATATATATATATATATTTTTTTTTACCAAGATGATTTTCTAGAAATAATAGTCAAAATACATACGATCCATTTGGCATAAAGTATATAATAATATGTAGTGTCAAAATAATAATAATAATATAATTACACCGAAGACGGTGGAATCGACAGAACGTATATTCTCGACCCTTCTAAAAAACTTGATTCTAAGCAAATATTTAGAGAAAATAAAATAAGATAAGAGAACTAAAAATATTACAAGTATGGTACTAAACTACTCAAATTCACTATTTTTATGAAAAACTTGAATTTCTCTAAAAATAAACTAACTAAGGGGAAAAGGCAATTAACTACACATTTTCAATGAATTTCTATCAAATTAAAAAAAAAAAAAAAAAAAAAAAAAAAAAAAAAAAAAAAAAAAAAAAAAAAAAAAAAAAAAAAAAAAAAAAAAAAAAACAGAACAATTTTCAGCATATAATCAAACCTATAATTAACATTCACCACATAATCATTTACTAATACTATATTAAAACAGAATATAGAAAGGTGTCGAAGTAGTACCCAGATTTTTCAAGATACGAGAAGCTGAAGTTATGTTGTATGCAGTATGGTGATTGAGGCATCCCTCAAATTTACATTCAAAGTATGAGTTTCATGCTCTTCATATAAGGAGTGCCACATTTCTAAAGATTTCATACCTGCCCATCTAATGTGAAAACGCCACTCGACCCCACAAGTAGCCGAAACACAATTTTCATTTCCCACACATCCATCGTTGCCCTTGCAACAAGAAAGGATATTTGTAGGGCGTGGCGTATGTGCGTTGTTAATTTTAAGGGAATGCCATTGAAATGAAACTGAAACTAATCGGTGCACTTACAGGATTTAGACAGTGTGTAGGGAAAATCTGTGGAATCGATGTTGACGAGATTACGAGGTCTCCAATTATACTCGAGCTGGGCAGGCTACAGATCTCTCTAGATCCGTCTATTCGATGATTTTCTGATCATGGTCGTGTCATTGGCATTTCATTTGGCGGAAGCGTTAGCGTTCTTAGCAGCACAGCTCTGAGTTTTAGTTTTGCAATGATGAAGAACCATATCCTCCCATGCGCTGAAGAAGTAAACAATATAACTTCAGAACTGGAACGGAACTTCATGGTTAAAGAGAAGCCAAAATAACGAATGGAGAGAAATAATAGGGCATGATGGCTATGCCAAAAAAGCTGAAGCTAAAAATCAACAGTACTAGCCATGTCAAAAGAGCACAGTGCAAGAATTCATTTTAGCGGGAGTCCCACACGACAGGCTATTAGTAGCTCAGTGGTAAAGCACACCCCTGATAATTACGTCGTTGTATAGGGTTGAGGGCTATCAGCCACATAGATAGTTCAATGTGCTCAACAGCGCCTGACCCTGAGACTAAGATGTAGATCATCCAAGAGACATTAGCATGGTGTAATTCTCCTGATTGAACCGGAGTTTGAAACCAAGCTTCTCCTCAGGAAGATAGATGGATCTATTCAGGTGAGATCCAATGTAGATTCGACTTTCTATTCACTCGTGGGATCCGGGCAGTCCAAGAGGGACCACCTTAGCTCCTCTCTTCTCGAGAGTCCATATATCTCTTATCAGTATATGGATAGCTATCTCTCGAGCACAGGTTTAGGTTCGGCCTCAATGGAAAAATAAAACGGAGCACCTAACAACTTTTGAGCCTTACAAGACACTCTAATATAGGTTTAGAAATAGTAGGCTCAACATGAAAAGAAGAAATCCCCTAGTTGAGAATTAACAGCCTCTAATATCCTCCCAACAATATACTGTCCTTCATTTGACTGTAACATTGTAAACAACTAAAAGACCAGACATTAAAGAAGATGATAACATTGTTCTAAAGCTTAAAACTATATCAACAGACATAAAGCAAACAAATATTACAAAATAATTTTTATCCACGTTTTCATTTTTTCTCGTTTGTTTCAAGTTAAACTTACAGAGAATGCAAGGGTAGTGTAGGCAGGGTAACAGTTGATATATCATTCAAAAAAATCAAATACCTTCGTCCAAGATCTTGCAGGTAAATTCCCAGCGAGTTGCTGATTCTTCGATTTAACTTTTCGTCATTATCAGTAGCAAGAGCAACCTAAACAGCTCAGCCTACTAACGCAAATTCCAAAGCAATGAGCTTCTTCATCAACCATAATCGATGCAAGAAGCTCCAATGAAACTGATGGTGGAAAGAAGCATATTAAGTCTCAGAAAATATAGATGCTTCTTCTCTACCCACCTCAGTCTTCATGCCTGCCCCCTGCCATTTCAAGTAAAAAATGTACAATGAAAAGCCCATGATAAATCTTAGCTACCAGATGGCAGGGAGCAGGCATGGCCCATGCCCCTTACCGGGGCCGCGCTAATCCAAAACTTGCATCTGGTTGCTGTTGGTATTGCTGCAAAACCATAAGATCTGGGTCAACAGTGTGTGAATGAAAAAGAAACCCACTCTGGTACATTGTCTTTAAGTAGCCAGAAGAAAGGTAGCAATCTAAATCATACAAGGACAATAATAAAAATCATTCGAACAAAAGGAAACGCTTGCCATTCAGTAGATACTTCCATTAAGTAGGATAGTGTCAAAGCTACTCAATAAAATATCACCAGCACAAACATCCAAGGAAGGGAAGGACTTGCACAGCTTGGCATAAAAGGCTTGTTTCATGAAAAATCAGATTCGATAAAACAGTTCGCAAGCACAAACCAGTGAAAAGGGTTGATGAGCTTGTTCGTGCGGATGGATAAAATGCATTCCAGACTGCTGACAGGGATACTGAGAGGAATGCAGGTACACACCAGAAGACGAATGTGCATCAACATTTGGATTAAAAGGTCTAATCATTGCTTCTCGATGACCGTACCCCAATCCTGCAGGAGATGATTGGGCATTCCATGGCCCAGATACATGTGGAGGGAGTGGTCTAGGCTGACATTCCGAAACAGCCTGTCTAGGAGCAGAGCCAAGTTGGGGAAATTCAGTGTTGTAGTTTACTGCAGGAGCGTACATGGGCTGCACAGTGTACGGCCCACCACTGAAGCTGAACCCAGGGTCAAATCTCTGCATATACCTGAAGAAGAATTTACAACCAGACATTTGGCTAAACTGCTATCCCATCAAGAAAATTCATGATGCATCCCAAATGGAAAATTTTATAAATATGAAATCGACACTCGTCAATTAAAACGCCCTCTTTATTTCATTCATCTAGCATTAACTTTATGATTAGAAATTACCTTATGATTTGAAATATATATATATATAGGATAAAGCCAAGAGAATAATGGATGCATTTCATACCTATCGTAGTTCCTGTCATAATCGGGGTCCTTGCTGTCAATCTCACGATCTCTAAAAATGGCTACTCTACTATTTGGTTTGTGCTGCCTACTAGGCAGCTCCTTGTCAGTCCTACTTCTACTTATTCTACTGCTACTCGTAGAACAGTCAATCAAACCCCTACTAAAATTTGTATCAGGAACTCCAGAAATCATCTTCTCCTCAACCTTTGCAGCACCCAAGGAACCACGAAAACTATCCTGCAGCCTAGGATCAGCATCTACTTTCCCACCAGCATTACTACCTGAATTGCTGCCGGAGTTAAATATTCGAGCACGAGCTTTATTATACTCCTCCTTCCTTTCTTCCACACTTTTAGAACCCCCTGATTTTGATGAATTTGAACTTGCATCTCTGGCTACTTGGGACCGTTTCTGTGGCCTCTGTTTGATAGCAACCTTCATGGTATTATTTTCTTCAGTGGGTAGATTAACAGGAATATCTGCAAGTCGGATAGCTGGAAGACGGCATTCAGAAGTCTTGCGAACAATAATTTTGGAACCAGACCCATCAGGTAAACTGTTGTCCAGTAGAACCATGGACTGCAATGAATAATGTTGGGCTACCCGATGGGCAGCTAACCGTAAATATGACGTAGGCAACTGCTGAAACTCTAGTTGTTGTCGAGCAGGATCACAGATAAATTTCTCAACATCTTGCTCCATGCGCAAAACTAAAGCAATGAAAGTATACAATATCATCAATAGAGGGAAAAGCTCATTAATACCATATTTCAACAAAATAAATGAAGCACAGCAAATAAGCCACAGGAGTACGAGTCAGAATTCAAGTAGACGAGGAAATGAGTTTGTCGGCACCTTTGTAGAGTGCTTTCTACCCTTAGATTGTCTCAATTTTCATTTGTCTAAAGAAATTTCAGCGTCCAACAGGAAAAAAAAATGCTTTGAAGTAAGCAACAAACTTCCAGATTACAAGAAATTTGATTCCTGATTATGCTTTTACATGGTGATGGTTTTTTAAGAGAAACAATTTCCCCAGCTAAGGTGAAAAGCTATAACTCTATTTATGTCCACTCGTATCCATATAGTATTAACAAACCCTACTCCACTTTGATTTTATAAAGACTAAGTACAATTACATAAGGCATCAAAATGTGAAGACCAACAAAGGCATGAAATTTATCTAAATCTAGAACCTCTCCCCAACCCATACAACTATACTTTAAATAGCCCCCTATTTCTTTCTATCCCTATTCTCCCTGTATGAAAGTTTCAAT